TTTAGTGCATCTTCATGACGTGTTTTAACATATATATATGAACAAAACTTGCACGGTTTAACTTGCGGCGCTGAAACGACAAAATTCTACTAAAATTCATTAATCCTAGAAGCATTATCTAATAGACGTAGGGCTGGGAAGTTCGTACAATTGCACGTTTCCTGAAATTTAAGTGTATGTTTCATGGCAAAATATTGAAAATAAGGTAAGAAATGTTTTGCATATAGGGCATATTTTGCATATTGAGAGCTCTCTGGCATATAAATGAAAGTGATTGCTTATTTTTCGACTTTCTGCCTACTAACACCAAACTATGATTTTCCCCATAAATAATATTTATTAGCATGAACATTCTTCTTATTTGAAGTATCTTAGTACAATGCGTTTCGGAGTTTAAAGGTATCAAATTCTAAAGCTACAGCTCTAAAATAAAGCAAACACGATCGCGCATTCCTTGGATGGGAACACGACAAATTTGTATCACCATGACAAATATATCATATCCACGAGGAAAAATCAGATCATCTTGCCTCGGTGACTGGCTGAATGAAGAGAACCAACACTTTTTTTTTTTTTTTTTTTTTTTTTTTTTTTTTTTTTTTTTTTGGAGCGAGGATGATTTGGGCTTAACACAAACAAGTATTCCACAGTTAATTGACAATACTGCATACTTTAGGGAACCTGGTAACAAAAATTTAAATCTTTTCATTTCAACGACATTTGAAGGCCTTCGTATCATTTTTATATATTTGACAACAAATACAAGATTAAGTGCCTTCAAGATTTGTATAAAAAAACAGACAACCATCCGTGGACTGACCGCCCAATATTACGCGGAATTTTTTTAATGTACCGAAGGTCTTTAGTCCCCTAGCTACGTGCCTGCCAGAGCCAGTCGCATTGCAGATCGCCCCAGCCCCGCTCTTTCCCCCGGCGAGCGAAGAGCACATTCCACTGCCGCCGGCAAAGACTTTCGGGCGGCCGGCGGCGAATCCCTGTTGCCGTTCCACGGACCCCACCGTCACAATAGCCCCGCGTGCCTCCTCCCCCGCTCTGTCCGTTCTTAGGTGGATGGGGTGGGGGCGGCGCCGAATGCGAGCGCGAACCGTACAGTTAGGTGACCAACTTTTTGGAAGCGTTGCCGGTGGCCGGCTGGCATGGCGAGCAGAGCTGCAAAGCCCGCCCTTCGCAAAAGCGCGGGTGGCATCCGCGAGCTTCCGTCCGCCTTCCCACGCCCACTTACGCGCCCGGCCATCACTAGGGAGGGGTTGCGCCAGCACAATGGTTCCGGTTCCAACCAGGGCTAGATCGTGGCATTAGCTTTAAGGGTCAAGGAGGAATAATACTCGACTCTAATAAGAATTGGAGTAATCGTATTTGTTTTAAAATAAAACACTTTAGTCACTAATTTGTATCCCTTACCGACCTCCCCACTAAATCGGTTAGGTGACACGATTCTCTTCCGATGTAGCGATTCGCTTTCTGCTTCCGAACACTCTACAAGTACAATCAACATTTTTGGCGCACTATATAAATTGCGATGATTCTATTCCCTTTAAATTACATTTTCTATTACGAGTAGGACTTATAAAACGCGAGAGGCGAAACTGGTGTATACCATATCCTAGTCGCGTGAGCGAAGGTCGTTGCGAGCGCAGTATGTTCGATCCGGCGGACATTGACGCGCGTTAGAGCGTCGCGGACCACTTAGTGCTAAGTGTCAAGTAGCGTTAGTTACAAATTTGCGTTTATCTCCAAAAGTGCATTCGTACTGAAAATTCTGATATTGGATTTTATGCTTTCAAGGGTCCTGACAATTTCATATGCACTTAGATTTCTAATCCGAAAGTTAAACCAGTAGTATCGGAATCAAGACTTGGTTAACAAGAGTACTCTTCATAAAAATTCACTGCGAACTAGAAAGAATAGGTACCTACACTTTGGGACAAACCGAAAAGGGGGGGGGGATCTCTTTGCAATCTTAGCCCGCCGTTTATAGTACAAAATCCCTTAGTTCGAAGTCGCGATATATTTCCAAGAGATAAATATAACCATTCCTTTCAGACATATCAATTAAATTTAGAAAATAAATGAGGCCATGATTACAACAACCTACAATGAATCAGTTTTTAAAAGAAGTTTTTCTTTATTGAAACAATCGTATTGCTTGTGTTGACAATTTTAATTCAATATAATTGAATAATTATGTATGTATAACAATACATAACAAATAAAATGACTTCCACAGCGCAGCTCGGAATTAAGGTTAGTATAGGCGAGCTTCGATAAAAACTATAAATATAAACACCATCTCTGCGACCATTTAATTCCCCAAAATCCAGCAAAGGTCAGAACGAATACCACTGACATGTCGGCCGTCATATCACGGGTGCGCATTAAATCTGTATTGAACGTCTTTCCCAGCACAGTTTTAATATTTTATCAGATATTCTGAAGTAAATACTCTTATATTGAAAAGAAAACCAACAAATTTCTCACATCAATACGAACGTAGTTTCCTATTTAGATATAATTAAAACATCCATTTATTTTACTTCACGCAAAACAACCTTCGTATTCTCTTTACCTGTTCTCTATCCATTCACTTTTTCTTCCTTTTGTCAAAGAATTTATCATCCTTTCCCATAAGAAATCCTTCCTAAGAACAAGAAATGCAATATTAGCATCGGTTTTCAGTATACCATAAAACTTCAAAACGTCTCCCTATTTTTACCCACACAGAATTTTGTTACATTATGTCGGACGTTTAGAAAAAAAACATTTACGGGACAGCATCCAGCACTATCCCTAATATAATGAATTGGTCTCCATTTCTTGCTTTCAGTAAAAATCACCCACCAAATGCTTCCTGGGTAAGGGTATTATGTCCAAATCAATAGTTTTGATACAAACGAATTTTAATTTTCTTTTAATATCTCTCAGCAAAACGTCGGCACTTGTGTAGAATAGTTCGAATATCGAATATCCCATCATCCTATTTCCGGATGCGGTCGCTGCGACACGGGCTGCACGTGCAGCTGGGTGCCTCGCACCCCTTCTCGTGCGCCTGCGTATTTATTTTCAGCCAAATCTGGACATAGCACATAGCCCCCTTGATCCTGTACCATGTATGTGATTTTTTTCGAGCGTACCCAAAATTCACAACAGGGCAAATATTACATGGGACTCTTTCAATATTATTAGCGACGGTGGGGGAACCGTAGTTATGCCAGAGTTAGGGTCTTTTATATACAATTAATCATTCATTTATTAATTAAACAGTCTGTTCCCCGTGACATCCGCATATTGTAGTTTATAAACGTTTGAAACCTTATTTTACAATCACTACAGATTGGGAGCAGTATCTCAATAAATTAGAAAAATGCAGTTTGCTGACGTAATATGTCGAGGGCAAGGAAGTCAAAGCGTCATCACTTGGGCATAGTATGTACAAGAATAGTTTAAACATTTTCGCCGCTTTCTAACTTAAAAATATTGCCAATTCATTTTTATGAAAGAAATAAGTCTGTCAATAGAATATTTTAGAAAATCTTACGAGCATTCAATCGTGAAGGGTTGACAAGTTAATCCTCAACCTCACGACGGGAACGAGCCCGACGTTTAGCCAACAGCTCTCATCCCAAGGACATGTAATTGCTCTTCAATTTCATTATTTGCAGTAAATACACCCGCGGGTATGACAATAGGCAAAACAATTCACCACGCAATGCCGTCAATCGTTTCCGATACAGATTTTTGCAATTTTTCACACTGGATTTTTAAATCTACATTTCGACGTGAAATCTCATAATCGGAGCACGTGTCAAAAAAGCGCCTCCGTCGGCCCTCTTGAAGCAGGCTGGTTCGGTCTGCACCGGAAGCCTTTCGGGAGCACCGCGACCACTGCCGGTCGCGTTGCACCGCGCCGCGCCGGGCAGACGGCGTTCGGGAGGGTCGAATTCGGCACTTCCCGGATGCGGCATGTATTTGCAACCCCCTTCACACCCCTTCCCGCCCCATGTCGCGGTTAGTCAGCCGGCTAATTCCGAACGCCCGCGGGAGCCGCCGCTGCAAAAACAACATATTTGCCCGAAATACTTTTTCCAAGCCCATTAGTCCGAGCTTACGTTAACACGCGGCGACGCTATGCCGGTTGCCTCGCACCAATGTCAGTTCCGCGGCCGGTGCCAATGCGGTTTGAGAAAGGGTAAAAATAAAGCAACTTAACAAGGATTGCTCGAGTGCAGCCGCAAACCCTTGCAGGACACGATAGCAACAGCTGCTTATTTGGAGTGATTTAGTTTGGATTTGCACAAGTTGCGAATTTGAGACACCGCCAACTTTAGTTGTATAATATTCGGCGATTTTTCATTTCAAGGAATGGCATTTCACATAACACATTGCATCAAATATCCATATTTACAATGCCCAAAAATTGACCTTTGATTTCATCTGACTTCTGATTAACTAAAAATTAGAACAGACTGAATTCGCACAACCTATCTTCAAAATCTGACAATTTAAAACACATTATTTCTGCAAACTGTATTTTTCTAATACTGAACACAATTTGGTAAGTGAAATATCCACACTAGCATGTTGATCCTTAATACGCACCAAATTCATAGCAGCAAATCAGATTACTTTAAGTCCTAAAAAGAACTTTAAGACCTACAATGGTCCAGACTTTACACTATTTTTAGGTTTCTGGGTCAAACAAAACCAGCTTCAGTAATGTGCCATATGTTCTTCTAAAAGGAGGCCACTAAAGGTGGAACCAAGTAAAGAGAAATTGAGCTCTATGGATTCAGTCTGTTCCAAATGTTACTATAATATACACACGTATTACTGCTGAAGACATTGATGAAATGTTTTGAAGAATTGTGCTTACAAGATAATCGGCAATGTCATTAGCAATAACACTTAATTCTAATGGAATGACAATACTGAGCATTTATCTTATCAAAGGATAAACAAAAGCAGAGATAAAAAATACTTACTTTGAAAACTTCAGAGAAGAACCCAGAACCTATCTTCTCACAAGTGAAATCATCCAAACGGTTTAATGCAGCAACAGCATGCCTCAATGCTTGACATGATGATCCTGTCATGCGACATTTATTTGTAGAAAGAGGGTTGTTATCTTCAATGTCTGTGTTACCCATTACTGCTGGTGTTGTTTGAGGCAGAGGAGATGACACTGGGGTGATAAGGTCTTCTTCACATATCCGAGATTGTTTGCCATCACTAACTTGATTTTCACAATATCCACTATCACTGCCCCCTCTTCCACTTGATTTACCTAACATGGTTATAAGGTACAACTTTACATGAATTTATAATAAACATTTAGGTTATAAACTGACACATATCCAACACAACCAAGTTTAGTGCGATACGAAGTAAACTTTCCGGAGTCCTCATTATTGCATGAATATCACTGCAGAATAATTTGGGCAAGTGTCAAACAGTTAACTGACATTTCTCAACTCGTGTCCTGGACGCAGAAACTGAGAAGATCTACGCCATGAGTGAACAATCGGTCCGAAGATACCCGACGGCACCCAGAGAGAATGTGATTAACATCCATATAAGCAGATGTAAACAGTGCCTAGTCACATCCAATTAATTGGAGTTAAGTTGGCTTGGACGAAAATGGTTCCTTGCAGTGTCATTGAAGAAGGTTTTCACTCGAAATGTAACACAAAATGCGTAGAACCGAACATTCACTGAATTTAAGTATTAGCTGCCGAATTGATTCCACTATTAAGACTGCAACAATCCAAGACTAGTAGTCGTCACCATATCCAAAGGTAAACTGGAGTAACTTTCACGAGACACACTCTCCAGCCGCCATTATCATGCAGCAGCGACATCTGGCAGTACAAGTAGAAAGCACATGATCTGACGTCAGCATTCCCAGAGGCCTCGCGCCTCTCTCTAACAAACTTTCAAATCGCAGTATAGGTATTGCGAATTAGAAATAATTAAACTTTTCATTTTAGAGAAATGAAAGATCAGAAAAAAATAATAAATGTATATTTCGGAATATAATAAATTTCTAATTACCGAAAGCAATATTATTTATTAAAAAATGGTTAAAACAATAGTATGTTCCTGAAGAAAAAGAAAGTGAGAGCTGCTTTTCTCACGGACTTACAAAGTAATGGGAATATCCACAAAACAATACCATCACAGATTCTCACACCTTCTCTTGAGACTTTTACTACTCAAATTGTTTCACTAACTTTTCATTATATCACTGTTACCTAGGAAGGCTTTTGCTTTCCTTGAACAAATATCCCAAAATGTAAAAGAAAAAGCAGAATTTTTGATAAAATCAATAAATTAATAATTTGATGAAAAATTAGAAGATTATTTAGGGCATGACATGGGTGGGTTGTGGCTAGGTTAATAAGTAATGGGACGTCAAAAAGAACTGAACTATGAGGCCCTCTACTAGAAATGAACATAAACTAACTTAAAAAAAATACATGATTTCCTCAGCAGTAGAAAAATTAAACATTAAATGATGTTATCTTAGTGTATAAAAATATAAAATTTTTGTTTAAAAATTATTGGAGGGATTACCCAGCACGGGGGCCCATGCAAGTGCTTAGTGTACTTATGCATTACTATAACCCTCATTGAGTCTAAATAAAAGTACATAATATCAACTAAAAATTATTTATATTCAACACAGAAAAACAATTTTATACAGTACAATGTGATTTTATTCAATAATAATCACTTTGAATCTACCATAAAACAAATTTTTAAATTTGAAGATCAGCAAAGTTCATTTCTTTATCAAATTCACATATTTACTGGGATCAAAATCATCAACAATTTCTTCTTCAATTTTAACTTTCTCTATTGGCTTTCTTGCTTCTATACGTGCTTTACGTTGTTCTTCAGATAAAGTGGAAAGATCTAAAGGCAGCTGCAAGTACAATTATTTTGAATGATTTCACTAATAATGTGAGAAAAAACAAATTTTTAATGTACATCAAAAGTATGCTTACTCTGATAATTTTTCTTGGATCAGAATATCTGATATTGATAGTAGAGCCATCTGGACGAACGACAACAGTTGGATACATTCTGGCATATACTTTTCGATGAATTTTACAGATGCTAGCAGTGTTACTATTTAAATTTCGGGAAATTGGTGCAAAATTCAATCCTTGAATTTGAAGACATCTTTGCACCCACAATCTACAAAAGAAACATTACTTTATGATACCTTTATTAATATTAAAATCACAAAACATCTTGTATATCTTAAAGAGCTATAAAAACATATCCTACAATTCAATATCTGTCATAAGAGTAATTTTATCCTTCAAATAATAAAGAGTATAATACATAATAATTTTTCAAACTTCAATATAAAGTAATAATATACTAGGATCTTTTGGATCATGCAAAATAATGAGTTGGCAAATATTCAAAAATCAAGAATAGAAAGTATATTAGTTCACCCCTTTAATCTCACCTATGCATGGTTGTTTCTATTATCGACAAATAAATGACACAAGGTTAAACACATTTACTTATAGTAACATAACCTCCACTTGTACTCTGACCAGAACATGAAAACGAGTCTTCTTGCTGTATCGATATGACGCTGGAAAAACCATATCGAATCGACGGTGTTGTACAGCATTCAACTGTTTCTTGTTTATTCCGATTTAAATGTATGGTGAATACAATAACAATAATAATAATAATAATAATAATATATATAATAATAATAATATAATAATAATAATAATAATAATTGTAATAATAATAATAATAGTAATAATAATAAAGTATATAATAATAATAATATAATAATAATAATAATATAATAATAATAATATAATAATAATAATAATAATAATAATAATAATAATAATAATAATAATAATATATAAAAATATGGAAAGAGCACAAATATTTTATTTTTGAAAGAAGAGAGAAATGAAAAGTGAGAGAAGAAAGAGAAAGAAAAGAGAGAGAGAGAGAGAATATGGTGGGAATATTGCTATTCAATTTTTTTCTGACTGATTTATAGAGTTTACTACCGCACTACGAGTTTCACTTGTTCCATGAGATCTTCCTATTCCGTGTTCAGCTTGGCTATGGATACCATAGAGGAGAGATACAATACATAGAGTATATCTCTACTCTATGACGGGATATGGTCAGGGGTGTGAAACTAGGCGGTCAAAACAGGTAATGATTTCTGCGCCATCTACAGCAGGTCCGTAGTGAGTCCAACTAAACGTGTGACGTCTCATACAATTCAAATGCTGGCAAGGCCAGGCGGTGTTGGTTTTTCGTTACGTGCAAGCTGCGTGGAGGCAGATGCATTTTTTTATTAAAAATGTTTCAGCATTTTGTTAGTACATAGAATGTCATGCCTTTTAAGTAGAGTGAATTGTGTCGCGATATGTAATTTGCCATTTCTAAAACTTTGTTTTCGGTATTTTGAAAGATGATATTAGAAACTAGTGGTAGACAAATACATTGCTAGGACTTTCACACCCTACCCGAGTGAGGTATTTATAATTCATTTTGGAATCTTGTTGCATAATTGTAATTGATTATTTCATTTGTGAGCATTAACACCGTGCAAAATAGTTTTAAAAACCCTTAAATCCGTGTAGTAAAATCTAATTCTAGTCCATTCCTTTTTCTTTGTGGTTTTGTTTTCTTTTTCCTTGTTTCTCTGAGGATACAAGTCATGATGGTGGTCAAAGGTCTGGTTCTAAGGTAAGTGAAGATTTTAATTTAAATAAATTGACATAAAATAATTGAACAGGTATCAACATTCGAATAAAAAACTGGACAAATTTTTCATTTTTTCCTATTACTAATATGAATTTACGAAATAATGAGACATATATACAAATTTTCCCGTTTTTTCAACTAAGGATTCACGTTAAATATTCATTAAAAATTGTTATATGTAACCAAGAAATTATTTCATGGTCTACAGATTCCCATTTATTGGACAGGTTGCAAAGTTTATACTATAAAAAATCTCTCATAAAGAAGTGAGGTTCTGTCTCTCCAATTGCATCAAATTATGCACTTTTAATTACTTTTATTAGAACATACTATTTTATTAATTTTTATAATACTTCATACATAATTTACCAATTAAATCTTGGCGATATATATTTTTCAACCATCGTTCACGCATCTGTTCATTTTTGAGGAGCTTATGTAATGGCATCCTCCAAGATGTTGAGCACCCTCTTACGGAACATTTACCAATCTTCTACAATTAATTCTTTGTAGTAAATCATAAGAGAAGCAGATAATACTAATGGACATTCCCTAGATGCACCACAACCAGAATTTCCAACAACTTTACTTTGAAAATGCATGCTAAAACGCAACAGTTGCGCAATCTGCACTAGGTGCGTGACTGAGGAAACAAAGTTAGGCCTCTACCTTTTAACATTGAGCAGGGGCTTCTAGCTTAAGTCTAAATGAGTAGATTAAGTACAATTTGTAGCCACCAAGTGTCAGTACCAAAATAAGTAAAATTTTTTTTACCGATAACGTCTGAAACAAAGGTCCGATTTTCGATCTGTAAACGGCATTTGTCGCCTTTTTAAAATAGAATTTTCGCCCCGAAGCCCTTTTTCCAAAAATCTAGAAAAAACTCGAATTTGAAATTAGTTCTTAAACTGCCGAGAAAAAATTAAAAAATGTGGGCTTATAGCGCGATGGCGACATGCTTCCTGAATCCAACGCCGTGACAATCATGCAAATCGGACGAATAAGAGCGTCGTAAAGCGAAATTTGGGAAAACACCTCGCCCGCTCCCCCTTCCGTGCCGTTGCGACACCCACGCCGATGCGCGGCGGCCGGGCCAGGCCCGGCAGACGAAACGGGACTTGCGGGACAGGCAAGACAGACAGTCGGTTTATGCTTTCGACACTTAACATCTCAATATATTTGTCCACAAATATCAAACTAGAGATGCTATACTACTATTTCAGACCGAGGCAAACGATCTGTAATAGTAGTACATAACTATGTTTTTCACATATTTCCGCCTTCCTTCGAATACCATCTTAAAATTTTTTGAGGCATTAATTAAAATATTGATTCCGGTTTGGAACTGGTTCTTAAAAAATTGAACTAATTCTGTATATATAACCATTATTCCATCTCCTCACATCTTATTTTAGATATATTTTACTTCTAAGGTCTTCCGTTATCATTTCACTTATTCTAAGATCTTCCGTTGTCACATACTGGAAAGAAAGAGCGGAGTATGCCCACGAGCTCTTTTATTCTACAACTCGATTTTTGATCTCAAAACGGCGTTTATCTGCTTTAAAGAGTTCATCTGGCGAATCTCTTTTCCCAAGTAAAATAGCCGAAGCTAATTTTAAAAATGTTTTCGTACTTTCAGACAAATTTAAAAAGGTGGTAAAATAGCGCGCTGGCGAGCTGCATCTTGACTCTAACGATAGAAAATGAGGCTTAAAGAAGCCAAATTGAAAGCAATGTGAATCGTTTTTTAAAATCTTAAGACAGTATACACTTAATCAACAACATTTTTAAAATCTTATTTTTTTCTTTTGCTGAGGGATGACTTTTGTCGATTGACTCAATCACACAGTATTCATGTAATTGTGTTGTTATTTGCACAACCTCGGCTGTCTCCTTTCTTTGGTAACGGAATAACTATAGTGCGTTGCAGCTCTGTTGGTCACTCTTTTCTTTTCCAGATCACATGGCATAATTGTGTTAGTTTCGTAAAGATTTCTTCTCCTGTATCTTTGAACAGTTTGATTGGAATATTATCTACAGCCGGGGACTTCCCAATTTTCAGAAGTTTTGTCGCTCAATGCATTTCTTCTATCTCTGGTTTTTCTTGGCAATCATCTATAGTTATCCACTACTCTATTTGTAAGTCCTTCTCATATAACTTTTTCGTGTATTCTTTCCAACTTTCTCGTGATTTGTTCTTTTGTTGCATTTGTTTTCTCTTTCTCGCTTTTAACATTCGGCATTGTTGGTTTACACTCCGTGGTATTATTTCGGATGACCTGGAAATTTTCTTATGATCTCCATTTGTTGTTATGTTCTTCCACTTCTCTTTTTTCTTGAATAAACTTTTCATTATCTTGTCTTGGTCTGGGCTGGAATACCCTATAGAGTTTTTTGACTTTCGTCTGGTCATTTGCTTTCTTTGCAGAGAAATATAATGTTTGAAACTAAAGAAATATAAGGACTCCGCTGTACATAATAATAATAATAATAATAATAATAATAATAATAATAATAATAGTACCCCGTGTGGTGCCGGGGATTCCAGTAAAAATAGCACCGCGGGTCCTCCCCATGTCGTAGACGGCGACTAATCGAAGCAGCTGCCCGCTGTCACTCCCCCAAACATCCCGTCATTCCCACAAACTTGGTGTGTCATTGCTTCCACTTACTTGTGGATCACTTCTGTTTTCTATCCTGTAGGCCAATCTTGTATCGGCTAACTCTTGTGTTCTCGCCCCGACGCTATTAGGTTGCGAGGGCTAGGGAGTCGTTTCCTTTCTACCCTTCTATTTGAACTTTATTCTTCTCTGACTCCCCTTGTTCATTCCGTTTCCTTAAGCTGGCGGTAGCTCAAAAACGCTAGGGGAAGGAAACCCTTAAGAAAAAAACCCAAGATGGAGGATCTGTCAGGATCAACAGTTACAGTGCAGGGGATCGGAGCCCCAGTATCGGCGGTCGGTGGTGCGCAAGCAGGCCACCGAGCGTCGTCACACAGCGACTGCAATGCCTGCCGGATCACTCGGCACCGCTGGCAGATACTGTTATGAGTGATTGCAAGCTTCGCGGGACTCGTATGGAGATCTGCGAACCTAGGGTTGAGGGATCCCTCGTCCAGTGAAAAGCCCGGAGTTCAATGCAAAAAGAATGAAAATTGGAATCAATAAGATATGATGACTTGTTCAAGAACACCGCAGCGGTACTAAAGTACCTTACAGTAAAAAGAAGTGAAGGAAATTTTGATAAAGTGAGCCCATTTATAATAGAGAAGAGTATTGGCACCTGTGCTGGATCTGCCGTAAAATACATACAGAAAACATCATCTAGACATCTGGAAACATTCAATGACAATCATGGCAAAAAGTTACTAGAACTGAAGAAAATAGGCATTATAGATGTTGAAGAAAGTGTTCAGGCACGCCGAATACCTGCGAATATATTGTAGTTTGCAGTGACACTAAGCTGCAGTGAAGAGGAAATAGTTCAAGAACTATCTTCTCAAGCAGTCTTTGCCTGTCGTAGACTAACAATGAGGCGGGGCGGCCAGATAATTCCTTCAACGTCCCATGCCCAGACGTTGTACATTACCAGAGAAGATTAAAGTAGGCATTCATCGTCTAACCGTACGAATGTTCGTTCATTCCTCAACCAATCCAGTGTTTTCAATGCTTACGATTTGGACACCCAGCATCTAGATGTGCTAGAATCAAAGTATGTCATTGTGGTAAGCCATTTCATAGTGATGATCCATGTATATATCCTATTAAATGCATTAATTGCAGTGGACAGCATTCATCAAGGTCAAGAAACTGCCCAATATATATGCAGGAGGCAGCAATACAACAAGTAAAAGCCTGACGAACCAGCTATCCTGAAGCAAAAAACGTTTGTGTTCTGAAAAAAAAACTAAATATTACATACGTGGAAGCAGTTACTAAAAGCATCA